TAAAGCAGGATTAACCTGAGTGACTCTTCCTGGATCATTTATTTAAACTGAGTGAGCAGGAAGTCTTTAACAGTGCAGCTGGATCTGCTGCAGGAGGATCCAGACGTGGATGGAGGGCTGGAGCAGACCCGTGGCTGGACGTTTCTGGTCAGAGGAACATCATACAGGACGGTCTGCAGAGAGAGCTTTGGGACGCTTCCTCTGTCCACTCCATCGTCCATCTACAGGGCCTGCTGGGCTGGCTCAGACGACGGCTGTTACATCTCTGTGGATGACTTGCCTGTTAACAGTAGTGGTGGTCTGCTGGTACCTCCTGCAGGACAGAGCACCACTGACCTCCTCCACACACATCTTCCTCACGCTCATCCTCCAGACCCACAACTTCACCAGCACAGAGGCAGATGTGGTGCATGCTGACCTGTAATAGATTAAATAAGAATTTGTTTTTTATAGAAAAATGTAAAACAAACCTATAACCTGAAGTACACTGGTTCTGTTCAGTTTAAAGAACAGCAGCAGGGAAAACTACAGAGAATTTACATTTTTAAGACAGATCTAATCATTATTAGGCTTAAGTTGAATAAACAAATGCACATTGAAAACACTTCAATGCTATTTTATTAAAAAGCCTGTTTTTTAAAACGTTTTACCCCCATTTGATGCAAAATAAGTTCTAAGGTCCCATGCACATTAGAAAACATCCTACTGCATTTAACATTTATAATGCATTTGGTTTATATTAATTACCTACATGTTAATACTCTGTAGAAATGTGTTGTGTATGTTTAACAAGTTCATTCTGTAGCTTAAAACATACATGAAACCATCTAAAGTTAACATGTAAGTCCTGAAAGCTTCTAGAATAAACAAAGTTACTTTACCTGAAAACGGTTGTGAACAAACGCTGCTGATGGACGTGAAGCTGCTCTAGCTCCTTAATATTCCTGCTCCATTTTCGCTAGCTTTAGCATTTTTCCTTTGCGTGTAGCTGCCGCCACGGCTGTGACGGGACCTACGGGCCACCGTAGAGGTGAAGGCTAGACTGTCCGAATTCAGAGCCGCTGGGTTCCGGTTTTAGCAGTCTTCAAGGACCTGGCCTTGCTAGACCGGCGAGGATCCGTACTCATAAGCATCCTTCCTGTGGATTCGGACATTCGGAGTGTCGTCTCTGTAGCTCTGCCCTCCTCTCCCAATGATTGGACAGGAATTCGAGAAACGTGATTGGTAGCTAAGACTCGTGCTCTCATTGGTTCCACCCAAGTTCCTCCCACTGACGCTAGAATCGAGACAAAAAGATCTGTAACACTGTAGGATTTTGGTTTGTACCTGTAGAATGAAATGTGTGTTTTGAGAGTTTTGATTTCAAACTTGTACCTTGATTTTTTTCAGTTTGGAAGTCTGCTAGTTACAAAACAAAAGTTTCATGTTTCTGAATGAATGTTTGATGTTCCAAAATAAAAAAATACATGTACAAAATACAATGTTCCTGTTACAAAACAAGAATACAAGTACGAATTGAGAATTACAAGTTACGAATCCAAAGTTACAAGTTACGAATCCAAAGTTACAAGTTACAAATCCAAAGTTACAAGTTACGAATCCAAAGTTACATGTGATGAAACATGTTCGAAGTTTCAAAACTTGGTACAAGTTACGCTGAATATTGTACAAGTTACGCTGAATATTGTCCCAATCCTAGTTCCATATGCTACAGCATCACTGGCTCCCAGCTGCCCCTAGGGGTCAGGGCATACTCTACTAGAGGTGTGGCTGCTTCTTGGGCGCTGTTTAAAGGTGTTTCAGTTGGTGACATTTGCTCAGTTGCAAGCTGGGCTACACCCCACACCTTTGTGAGGTTTTACCGCTTGGATGTTTTGGCCCCTTCGGTGGCCCATGCGGTTCTCTCTGCTGGATCTGACTTGCCATCTTAGGTTACCAGTATATATATCTGAGATTTCAGGCCAGGTTTGATAGCTACTCATGGGGCATTTCAATAAGTCCTATAGTACCTTCATTGTACCGAGTGAATTGACTGAAAGGGAACGTTAGGTTATGCATATAACCACTGTTCCCTGAAGGAGAGGAACGAGGTACAACGCAGGGCTGCCCCATTTCACAGCCCAGCTCTGTGAAGAGCGGCTATCGAACTGAGGAATGACAGTGATGCGGTCGCTTATAAGTGGAGGGTGGGGCCTCTATGCAGCATCACTTTCATTTGCCTTACAAGCATGATTAAATGTGTCTTCAGCCAGGACACACCAGGGTGTGATGTCCCATAGTACCTTCGTTGTACCTCGTTCCTCTCCTTCAGGGAACAGTGGTTATATGCATAGCCTAACGTTTTGTTTCCTGTTGTGAGAGTAGAGTATTTTCCCAGTAGTAGGATCCATCACAAAATGACATGAAATGTCCAGGTATCTGTGTGGGTGTGTGCTTAACTTTTTCAAGGACATAATTTTTTTTCAACAACATTTGCAAAGATGTAAGAATTGACACATATATGTAGGTGTACATTGATGATTCTATTTAATACTCCACAGGCTTGACATACAGAAAGTTTGATTCATACTGTAGTAAGATTTTCTCATCTTTGCTGTTGACAATGGTCCATCAGATGTGATACATTTATGTAAAACATTACTATCAGAAACTGCCTGAAAAATCTCATCAACCAGTATCTCAGTATATATACTGGTAATTTTATATGAATGTAACTGATAATTAATTGATTATTAAGTCACTTTAGAAAGAACATTTATTGTAGACAACACATAATATGATTGTAAATCTGTAGATTGAAATAAATAATTTTATAAGGAGTAAAAGTCTCGTCTTCTGCATGGACCTTGGAGCTGCAGCTCAGATAAGGGAGTCAGGAGAAGGAATTCATTATGGCTACCTTCAGGATGATGCTACTAGGGATGGTTAAGCATGGAATTGTTTTGGTACAGGGAAGGACACAACATTCCTAGCAGAGAAGGCCTAGTGGACACCAGACTGTCTATTTGACCCCTGACATTGCTGTGTACAAATAACTTTGGACATCTCCAATGCTACACTTGCATGGTTAATGCTACAATAATACATTTAAATCACCATGTGTTTAGAAAGTCCACTGACGTCCTTACATCTTGATCAATGACGAGAAAGACATGGAATTCAAAGCAAAGGAAATACGTTGTTTCAACTTTCATTCGTCTTTAAAAATAGCATTAATAGTAATAATTAGGGCTGGGCGGATCGATCTAAAATATCGATAGAATCGATCTAATGTTGGTATTGAGTATTTATTAGATACCTGCATGATGACATCGATTCCGTTTCTTCTAGCCTGGCAAGCCATGACTTACAGATGTCGGTCAACGAGGCAGTCCACCAAACTCCGTCAAAGAAGATGCAAAAAACATCCTTTTCCTAAATAAACGTTAGTACTTCTATCTGATCTTGACTCAAGCAAAAGCTAAGGTCATAATATTCCAAACTTGATGACAAAGCCGTTTCAAACGAGCGGCTGGCCGCCGACTAGTTACGTTTTTTTTTTTTCTAATAACATCCTGCCTACTTAGTTTTGCAATTGGCCCATGAAATCTATAGAGTGCAATGATTGGACCACTACAGACCGGCACCCATCTTGATTTTTAGTTTACCTGGCTGATTGGAGCGGCAGCCATGTTTATTAGCAGGGACATCCCGTCTACCTCGCTAAAAGAACGCTGTGACTGGCCCAACTAACCATTAAAGCACTGTGATTGGAACGCCACGGATGTCAATCAACGGGGCAGTTCGCCATTTTATAAAAAAAACAGTAAAACAGCACGCCAGCACAAGACAAGCAGAGAACAGCAGAGATCACTGTTATGGCTGCGTGATAGCAGACTGGAAATAGAAAAAAATCTTGAGCTATAAATGCAGATTACCACCCCCAAAGAGAAAATGAAGTTTTGAGTTTCCTAATAAAAATTTTACTTGCCTGAAAATGTTTCCTGTATTTTATTATCATAATACACGATTTATTAAAGGAAAACTTACAAAATAATTAAGTAATCAATAAAACTTGAGTTTTCAGACAAGATTTTCATTTTGATGATGTATTCTCTTAATAAATCCCACAAAACTAGACTGTACTTGACTAGTAGTTAAGTATCTGTATTGGTATCAGTATCGGCAATACTGGTCCTATATTTACTTGGTATCATATCGATACCAAATTTTGCAGTATCGTACAGCACTAGTAATAATAGATCGTGTTTTAAAATATTGAACCTTTAAAGTTTCAGACTGACGTTTCAGCTGTCATCAAGCGTTCAAATGTTTGCCAGGTTTAGCACCATAGTTGATGGTAGAAATGATTTCAGTTCGTCAAAGAAATAGCTCGCCTGGTAAAATATCTGCCTAACATGCTGAAGTTCAACTCCAGGCTGGTACACGCGAGATTCTGACTCATATCTCTTACGGAAATAATTTTATTTTTCCAATAATGATATATATTGTTTACAGTAATAAGACGCACACATTTTAATTATTAAATGTCCAAATGAGATGCGCTGAAAGATGTGACGGCCAGAAAATACGTCTGTTCAACTTTCATTTTGAAACTATTTTCAACCATGACGGAACGTCTCAGTTTGACATTGTTCCAACGGTCATTAAACGTCAGAATGTTTGCTGGGAATGGATGGCTGGTATTTACTTAGACAGGCAGATATTTTTTCAGAAATCTGGGAAATTTCAACTAATAAATGAGCAGAAAAAGTACAGGTATGCATGGTACCCTGTAAAAAAGGTCTCGGTACGATGAGAGGTGAAAACAAGACCGGACCGGAGCACTTAAAGCAAATCTTCAGTTAGTGAGATTTCAGTTCAATTCAATTCAAAAATACTTTATTAAGCCCAGAGGGAAATTGATTAAAGAGGAAAAGTGGTTGCCAGTCTGTAAAAATAATTTTGACTGTAACACTGATTGTTGCTGAGTTGCTATTGAATGAGTATTTTCTCTTCAGGTTTCTGTGTCTGAAGGAAATGTCTCACCTAAAGACCAGGAGGTTCTGTCCTACATCACTATGATTGGCTGCAGTATTTCATTGTTTGCTTTGGTCATCACCGTGTTCATCTTCATCACTAACAGGTCGAGTTTTCTTTCATGTTGGGTGACATTCCTGCAGTTAATGAATGTTCTTCCCACCACCCACCACTTACAACTGGCAGCTGTTATCAACTACAGCAAGTGTGACCTTGTCACTTTAATGTTGATTTTACACAATATAAGTTAGACTCCATCCTCTTCAGAGTTATCCCACCATTCACATGGGACTGAGGAAATAAAAGTCTGGGATAATTCTCACAAACCTGTTCAGTTGTCACAGCAGATCTAATCTTTTATCCAACAGAAAACTCAGAGCAGACAATTGTAAGAAGATTCACATCAGCCTTGCAGTTGCTCTCATCCTCCTGAACCTCCACTTCCTCCCCAGCCAGGCAGTGGCAGCAGGATCCTCCACCCAGTTTTGTTTTTATGTGGCTTTTGGTCTTCACTACTCCCTGTTGGCCACTTTCAGCTGGATGGCCTTGGAGGGCTTGCACCTCTACCTTCTGTTGGTCAAAGTCTTCAACATCTACATCAGTAGATACTTGCTCAAAGTCAGCATGGTGGGATGGGGTGAGTGACTTCATCACAGCATGGATGTTAAGTAACTGAAAGTAAAGGAGCCAGTGTTTGTGTTTCAGGTGTTCCTGCAGTGATTGTGTCCGTTGTGATCATAAACAGAGACTGTTATGGCCATACCCCTCTGGACGAGTCTAACCCCAATGGAACTGCAATGTAAGAAGACTATAAACATTCTAAACCAGTGATGGCCAATCCTGGCACCTACAGGAAACTGTTGACTGCATGGCCACAGATAGTTTGAATAGAATTGAATAAACCTTTATTTCCCACAAATGCCGCCTATTGAGAACCGCTGCTGTAAAGAATCCTCTGCTTCCTGTAAGCATCTCTTCTGGTCACATGTTACCTTTTATCAAGGCGTTTGTACACAGAGAGAGAAAGACAAGATTTTGATCTGCCTGGTCAAGAGCAAGTTTTGCAGAGGAACTGTAAGCAATCCTTGACATTTGCATGAAACAAATCCAGCGTTAAGTTGGCGCAGGTGCCACAGCAGTACTGTTTTAGTTGTAGTGTCTAGTTAGCTGTTGTAGGAAAATCTCAACGTATTGAGGTGTTATTTCTGTAGCATAGCAACAACTGAGCTGATCACACTGATACCAGGACTACACCGGCCTTAGATATGGACCAAAACCTAAAGTTAGTAGTTTAGTATCCGGGCTGTTGGGTCCCTATGGGACAGTGGCCTTTTCCTGAATACACCATCTACTAATGACAAGCACTGGTAATCCATCTTCTTTGCTTGTCGTGGACCCCTTCAGGTCACAGGTCTGCTTGTGTCAAACAGACTGATTGAGATATTGCCTGTTTGGCAAACACCTTTGAGTCTGACTTTACTTGAACATTTCATTAAAATTGTAGATGAACACAGCTATGACTTCCACTGGGGCATTTGTACAATAGTCTGAACTGGCATGGTGATAGAAATGTCATCTGTGCTTCCATTCTGTGTAGATGCTATATAATCAACGAAAAAGTGAAGTGGATGACATTGGGAGTGTTTAACGTGGTGTTCCTCTTTAATGTGACCATGTTCTGGGTGACAGCCAAATGGTTTCTGTGTTCCCACGTCAACAAAAAGGTAAAATGGTCTTTTCTAACTTGTTTGCTAAGCACTGAGCAGCAGTAGTCTTTTCATTTAGTTACACCCAGACATCTATTGTCATGTGTAAAACTTCCTTCGCCCTACAGATTTATTATCTTGCTTAGTTTCTTTTTTTTAGTCACACTTAAATATTTCAGATCATCTTTGAAATTTCAATCTTGAAATCCTGAGTAAATTCAAAAAGGCTGCGTGCTGCTTCAGGACATGGACCACTCGCTGTAACTGATGGAGCCATGACTTCTGATCTCTAGCTGAACATCCTGAAGGAGATTGTTTGAATTCAGCCACATCGGAGGGTTAGGGTTAGGGGTTTCCAGCATGAATGCCATGTTTGAGCTGTAACAGCTGTGTTCAGAAGAGTAGGGCTGAATTAATGTACAGTGATGTAAGAGACTCATTATGAGTTGTTTCACACACTTGATCCCAACTGTTGCCACTGGGGGTGATTGAACCATTTACTAGGTTGCGGGCTAAACCATTTTTTTCTCATAGGGCCATTTTTGTTCTTAAACCTGTTTTTTTTTTTTTCATTTCATCAAAATGTTTTCAAAGCACAAACATTCAGACATTATGAAGATCAATACAACTCAGCATTAGTTTCCACTCAACACTGCAGATGTTTAAATGTTTCCATTATTTTATGCATCATTTTTAACAGTCCATGTGTCTTACTTTGGGCTGTCAGGTTGGACAGAATAAGCATTATGAAGCCAAGAGAGAATTAGTTACCCTGCTGACATTGACGGTTCTGCTGGGCATCACCTGGGGTCTGATCTTCTTCTCATTTGGCACTCTCACCACTCCTGGTCTTTATGTCTTCTGCATTCTGAACTCACTGCAAGGTCGGTAACATCTGCTAGTGTCTAGTTAGCTTCTAAGAGACAGTTTTCCAGATTATTCAGTGTATCTATCTTTTCAAAATAAGAACAGTGTTGTCATCAAAAGACCTTTGCTTATTCTTGTGATGTGTGGACCGCTATGACCTGTCGTATGAGCTGCCCTTCTTGTTGAATCATACAGGTGTAGCTCCAAAACAAAAAAATCGATATTTTTTGTCACTCTTACGAGAAAGTGAAACTCACATATTATAAAGATTCATTACACATGGTGTGAAATAGTTATTGCATTTATTTTTTTGGTAATTTTGACTATCATGGCTTACAGTTATAGAAACCAGCTACTTTGAAGTGGCCTAAAAATCAGCAAAAACCTGTCAATAGCTGTGTTTCCATTACCAGAACTCCAGGGTAAAGTCTGAGACAGGGAAATTGACCAGGAGATAGGATGTCCCAGTCTTCTCAGCTGTTGTCGACATTCAAATGGAGCACTTTACGAAATTTGAACAGACATCTGCATCACAACTGCTTTGGCAGTGAGTGATGTCACTGATCAGCATCAACAAGCGCCCACAGTGACATTAATAACATTAAAAGCTTTTATTCTATCAAAGTTCATTATAGTTTAATTCATTCAGAGGAGAGCAGCTGTGTGATGTAAAATGTGGTGTTCAATAACCAGAAGAAAAACAAAACCTCATTAATTAGGTCTATGGGGGAATTACACCATTTTTTCCAGTGTAGGGAGTTAGATTTTAAGCGCGACCGAGGCTCATTTTCCTTTGCTTTTATTCTGCTTCACCAGCAACTCTTCTAATTTTACTAATGTCGGTTGTTCTGGACGTCGTCTACTGATGTAATTTCCTACTGAGTACAACCAATCCGCGTGAGTTACCCAAAGGTTCTGGTCAGCTACTCCACCGGGCTGTTCGAAGAACCTACCCCTGAGCAGGTACATACAGTACTCAGAAGGTTCCTGAAAATGGTCATTTGTCCGGCCTGGTCAAGCGGAGACACGTGCATGTCGGGAGGTTCCTGTAAGTCTACCTTGAAGTTCCGGTAATGGAAAGATAGCTACTGGATTCTCAATCACTGGTCCAAAAACTTTTGATGGCTAAAGCCTTGAAGTCCAGCCTTGATGCGGTCGGTGAATCCAAAGGAGATAATTCTTGTTTCATTCATTGTGTAAACGTGTTCTGCTGGTTTAATCTTCCTCATACTATTTTTGCATTATTCTTTATCCAGACACAAATATTGCTAAAATCAAAAATCCATATTTTCCCATAATTTTGAAGATAACAATGGAACCGCAAATGTAACTTATCAACACAACCGGTTCTGGTTTTGCTGCAGCACATGTGATAGATGGTTAACCTGTGGCATTTCCATCATTCTCATTTTGGCCCAGTGTTACCAACTCCCCTGATAGAAAGTAGCTGAAGTTGACCCAGAAAGTCACCCAGATGTCGCCAGATGACGTCAAATGCTAATTTGCATATTTATGACATCATCACGCCAGATTGGCTTTCATTTTCCCCATAGCATCTAAAAGATTACATATGTATGTGTGTGTGTGTGTGTATATATATATATATGTAATCTGCACATATAAGATTTTAAAAACATGTAGGTCTTTTTAGGACTAAAAGGGAGGAAAATAAAATAACAAAAATTATTTTATGTGTTAAAGTTATTAATTAGTATGATTAAAATGGCCCAAATTGCTTTGATATGTAAAATAAATTCCAAAAGTATCAATAAAGTGACATTAAGACAGATATGGTGTGGTGATCCAAACAGTTCTGTTGTAGGATATATCTCAGACCTCCTGCTCTCCTCAATCTCACAGACATTTTCCTAAAAAAGCTGGGGGGGGGGGGGGGGGGGTGTTAAACCTCATAGTTTCTCAACTTCTCTGTTGTGTATTCTCTCCATCGTGATAATAACAGCGCACCGAGCAAAAGGGAGCGGGTGTCTCATCTGAACCATCCCTGTGTCACTGAAGGAAATTCAGATGAGCCACAGAGCTGCGTGTGTAAACGGGACGGTAGTTGAAACTCCCGATGACTTTATTTGCCAAATGTAGGAAAAGCCAAAGTGTCTGACGGCTGCAGAACCAGAGATGGCAGGTTGACACCTGCGCCATCTCTAGTAGAAGCGTAATCCTGCAGCAGCAGCAGACGTAAGTCGGCGGTCTCCAGCTCTGCAACTGTACCTTTGTCTTTGCCCAGCAGAAAACGGTTTATGGTTGGTCAGTTCTTGTGCACATGTGCAGATTATCAGTCTCTTTCCTTACGCCTGGAAGAACGGTGCAGAGTGTTGCTAATCTGTAGGGAATATCTACAAGAAAGTTCTACAGAAAGTAGCAACGGGTCCTGAGAAATGTCGCTAGGTTTGTCACTAGGCGCTTTTTGGAAAAAAAGTCGTTGAGGGGGGTCAAAAAGTCGTTAGGTACAGCGACAAAGTCGCTAAGTGGGCAACACTGTTTTGGCCGGTTGTACATTAAGTTACAGCTTTTCTTCACTTCTCTTCTTTTATCCTTGACAGGTTTCTTCATCTTGATCTACTTTTTATTATCGTTGAAAAAGACCAAAGACTTTGCTGTCAAGCCCAGCTCTGTGACACGCACCACCACCACCAAAACCTGAAGTCACCCAGCATCTCTCCCATGCCGTAAAGCTTGCAGCTACACAAGACTCTTACAGCGCTCAATGGCACTTTCACACGTGGCCGGGCTGTTAGCACATTGTTCATAAATGTATTATTTAATTAGGGTTATGTTTTTTCCCTTTTAAATTGTAAAGCTGCATGTTGGTATAATCTATAGCTGATGTATGAATAAGTTGATATTATTTGTAGGGGTGCTCCGATTGATCGGCCACAGATAATTATCAGCCGATTTTCCTGCAAAAGTGTGTGATCAGTGATCGCCGATCACTGCCTTTCATTTCCGATCTGGCACTGGCGCTTACTCTTCCCGGCCGGTAGTTCACCCTTCCGCTTCTCTCCGCTTAGTGCGCATGCGCGTGGCGGCAAACCCGCAAAGACAAACATGTCTGCCGTGTGGAACTTCTTTACGGTGTGCGAGAGTGATATTAAGTTTGCGTCTTGCAACACTTGCAACGAAAACATACCCCGCGGAGGAAGCACTTCAAAAAAATTCAACACAACGAATTTGATCCGACATTAAAAGACTAAACACTTGGCGGAGCATGGTGAGTTTTTGAGGCTCACCGCAGACAATGAAAAGAAGCCTGCTAATGCAGCCACAGTCAGATGGCAGCTAACGCAGCTGACGCTTGGAAACACTCGCCCATGTGAGCGTGACAGTCAAAAGGCTAAGCAAATTACCCGTAAAATCATCGAGTTTATTGGACTAGACGACCAGCCTTTTTCAGTTGTGGAAGACGCCGGATTCCGCCGACTACTAACCCACTTGGAACCTCGCTACATGCTACGGGGACGTAAATATTTCGCCGACGTAGCCCTTCCAGAGCTCCACCAGACAGTGTATTCTTTCATCGAGGGACTCCTTAAAGAAAGCGTCTCATCCTCTGTGAGTTTCACAAGTGACATTTGGAGCTCAGATGTCAGTCCTGTGTCAATGCTGAGCTTAAAGCTCACTGGATGTATCTGAATGTATCCTTGGTTACTTAATTTGATTTAGGCGGTGATGTGAGATATTGACTTTTTTTGCACTATTTGTAGCCTAAAGAGAGCCTGAATGTTTTCAATTTCTTATAAATTGTTACTGATATTACATAATTTGAAGTGGAGTAAAACCATGTTTTTTCTGAATTAATATGTAACGCATTAGAACTCACCATAGCTAAATGAACAATTTACAGCCAATCTATGTAATTGGTATCGGTAATCGGCTGATCGGCCATGATCGGCCTCTTGGCTGATCGGTATCAGTGATCGGCAGATTAAAACCTGATCGGAGCATTCCTAATTATTTGTATAATTTTTAGTTTGGAAACATTTTTATCCTTCCCAGTTTTCTGTGTATAATTTTGATAAAAAAATAAATTTCACTACCTGGATGTAACTAATCAAATAGGTAGGAGCTTCCTATTGGATGATTACTGCATATCTTTCAGCTGGCAGCAAGTTATTTAACCCCAACTGGTGCAATGAGCTGCTTCTCATTTCTTAAACAACCATGTGGAAAGACACATTAGGTGGTCATGGAAATGATTTTAGTCTGTTTGAGAAGGGTCAGATCACTGGCATGAGTCAAGTAGTGAAAACATGTAAGGAGGTTGTAGAAACGACTAAACCTGGGTTAAGAACTGTCCAGCGCATTTTTAAAAACTGGTCTGATCAGTCCAGATGGACCCTGTTCCAGAGTGATGGTGCATCAGGGTAAGAAGAGAGGCAGATTAAGTGATGCACCCATCATGCCTAGTACCTACTAGGGCTGGGCGTATCGATCTAAAATATCGATAGTATCGATCTAACGTTGGTATTGAGTATTTACTAGATACCTGCGAGATGGTATCGATTCCGTTTCTTCTAGCCTGGCAAGCCATGACGTACTCACTGCTACAGATGTTGGTCAACAAGTCAGTCCACCAAACTCCGTCAAAGAAGATGCAAAACGCATCCTTTTCCTAAATAAACATTAGTTCTTCTATCTGATCTTGACTCAAACAAAAGCTAAAGTCGTAATAGTTCAAACTTGACGCCAAAGCCGTTTCAAACGAGCGGCTGACCGCCGACTAGTCACGTTTGTTTTTTTTTGTTTTTTTTTCAATAAATCCCGCCTACTTAGTGTTGCAGTTGGCCCATGACATCTATATAGCGCCGTGATTGGACCACTACAGAATGGCAGCCATCTTGATTTGTAGTTTACCTGGCTAATACCTGTGATTGGACCGTTTCGAGCGGCAGCCATGTTTTTTTGCAGGGTCATCCCGCCTACCTCGCTAAAAGAGCACTGTGATTGGCCCAACAAACCAGTAAAGCACTGTGATTGGAACGCCACGGATGTCAGTCAACGGGGCAGTCCGCCGTTACATTGAAAAAAAAAGCAAAACAGCGCGCCAGCTCGAGACAAGCACAGAACAGCAACAAGCACTGTTGTGGCTGCATGATGGCAGACCGAAAAAGGAGCGCCGTTTGGAATTTTTACACAGTTTTGTAAATTTGAAATAGAAAAAAATCTTGAGCTTGTTAACCATTTTAAACCATTTTGAGTTTCCTAATGAAAACTTTATTTGCCTGAAAATGTTACTTGTATTTTATTATCATCGTACATATGATTTATTAAAGGAAAAATTACAAAATAATTAAGTAATCAATAAAACTTGAGTTTTCAGACAAGATTCTCATACTGATGATGAATAGGGGTAGGGTTACATCATCAGTATGAGAATCTTGCCTGAAAACTCAAGTTTTATTGATCCTATTTATCTTAATAAATCCCACAAAACTAGATGGTACTAGACTAGCAGTAAAAAGTATCGGTATTGGTATCGGTATCGGCAATACCAGCCCCTGTATTTACTTGGTATCGGATCGATACCAAATTTTGCAGTATCGTCCAGCCCGTACACTGCCCCCACTGCCTGTGGGGGCAGTGTTATGATCTGGGCTTGCTGCAGTTGGCCAGGTTTAGGTTCAGCAACAGGATGTGCTCCAAGAATGAGGTCAGCTGACTACCTGAATATACTGACTGACCAGGTTATTCCATCTTCCCTGACGGAACGGGCATAGATGACAGTGCCAGGATTCATCGGGCTCAGAAGGGTGAAAAAGTGGTTAAGGGAGCATGAGACATCGGCTGTGTCTGAATCCAGGGGTAGGATGCTTGTGAGTACGGGTCCTCGCTGGTCTAGCAAGGCCTGGTCCTTTCAAGACCGCTAAAACCGGAAGTCAGCGGCTCTGAATTCGGACAGTACTAGCCTCGTTTTTATTCCCGCCCCCAGGTCACGTTGCCTAGCTACCGTGACGGCGGCAAACAGGCTAACAAGCTAGTAGCGACGTTGAAAATGGATCCACAGCAATATATCATTTTATTTGTGGTTTTTGAGGAGCTGCGACGGCTCAATAAACGTCACCGGCCTTTGTATTTAAAGTTTAAAAACCAGTTAGTCCTGTCATCTGCTAGAGTTACAAGTATTATACTCATGATCTCCTTTTTTGCATATATCTGAATGTTAGTGATGTGACAGCCGTCGATTGAGCCAGCCCAGCAAACCCTTTTGATGGACGATGCAGTGGTCAGTGAGATGAGGCATCCAGAAGCACCCTCTGCAGACCACTCTGTCTGATGTTACACTTGCCAACCAGAAACGTTCAGCCACGGATCTCGGTTCCTGCACTCCATCCACCTCGATGATCCATGTTCAGTAGATTTAGCAACACCACCAAAGACTCCCTGCTTTCCAAGTTTACTGTATATATTTTACTTTTATCTTTACTTTTATTCCTTACAGTGTTCCCTTACAATTTATTTACTATGTTGTTACTTGTTAAAAACTGAATAATAAAACTGTTAATGATCAAAAAAGAGTTATCAATTAATAGAAATTTTATTACATTTAAACAAATAACAAAAACATTCAAACACATATATAGAACCTGAACCAGAAGAAACTAAAAGAAAAAAACCCATTTCTCTGCCATCCTTTCCATCAATGCTAAAAATCTGTCCATCCTTCTTTCTCTCCTCTCCTCCGCTTCCCTCTGTTGTCTCATGTCCTCCCTGATCAGGTCAAGGAGCTCATCAGCCCTTCTCCTTTTTCTCCCTGATGAGGAGTCCGGCTTCCTTCTACCACTCTCCCTGTCCTCTGTCTCACCCACTGCTGCACTTGGCCCTGGAGTGTCCACGGGAATGGAAGCAATAAGGACAGGAGGCATAGTGGAAGGCCTCTGTCCCAACACCTCGTCCATGGGGACAAACCAGGGCCAGGTTTCAGCAGTGGGCTTTCTGCTGACTCCCTCTCCTGACCCTGGATACTTGCAGTCCTACAGAAAAAGGGAATTAGGATTACAAGGCTTTATTGTCATTTAACAACAGAGAACACTGTGGGCATAATGAAATTACAGATGCTCCTTAAAGATACTGGTTCTGGATGAGAATAGAGAGGAATAGAAGAACAAAGTCAGATTATAAATCATAGTTGATAAAACATGCAATAAACAATATTTTAATTTATCAACATGGGAGATGAAAATTGTGTTCTGTTTTTTTCCGCCTAAAATGAAATTAAAAACATTAAATCAGTAATGTGGTTTCTTTAAAATTAACTTAAATAAACATTAAACTTAGTTTCGTTATTTTTGGCGTTCGTTACATGATTACATAAGATGCAAGCTCTTTTACGGTGAGTATTTTCCTATTAGACTTTCAAGCAAGTTTACAGTGGGGTGTTAACCTTAAAACAAATGATGAGAAGCTTTATTCGCTAAATAAACACACACACACACACACGGGAATTATGACGGGACCACCATACAAGCTCGTTCTCGCTGATTTCTGCTTAAAATGTACTTATACAAACGAAAAATGTCTATAAACAGAACCGCTTTCAGCTTAGTTTTCTACCGCAATTTTCTTAAGCCTGCTGGCATCAAGCTAGTTTACGGTAGGTTTTTTCCTATTAAACATTCAAGCTGGTTTTCGGTGGGGCATGTTTGAGCCTTAAATTACATGAACAAAAACAATTTGCGGTATTAGATCGTATATAAAAAACAAACCAAGAGTGCCCAAACACATATTTTATTTTTTTGACCGCTATTTTTTTTAACTAACTTACATTTTAAGCTGTGCTGCTGTCCCGCTCCGTCCGCCGTTGTTGCGAGTGTCGAGTCCAGCGGCCGGCGCGCAAAGCATGCTGGGATACCCTTGCTCCTGTGAGGATCCATCAGACCCATCCTCGAAATGTGGGTGGAGCGAGGACGCGTTTGAGGACGCGAGAATGAGGATTCTTGGAATTCGGACAGTACTCGTCGCTGCGCTTTGACGTCATCGACCTCAAAATGCGCACTCACAAGCATCCTACCCCTGGATTCGGACACAGCCATCATTTTCACACATGAGAAAATTCTCCAAGATGGCGGAGTGAGTGGTTGATTTGCTTGGTGCCTCTCCCTGCTTAATAGTCATAAATAGCTAGATTCAGAACATTTATGTATTTTGAAGGCCAGCTTAAGTTCACTCTTTAAATTACAGCAGATCCTGAGTTCTGAGCAAGATTATTTTGTTTAAATCTTAGTATTATGTCTCCTAAATCTCAACAAAAGGAGCAGCCAAAGGGCCTTGAAGTCCGCGCTGACGTGGCTGTTGATGTGCAAAACAAGGAATCACTGGAGACTATTTTACAAAAAAAAAATTCCAAGGCGGAGGAGCACGCCAAAGAGCAGTTTGACAGTCTTGACTCTCAACTTGGCTCCATTAGATCCACACTTGATAAGCACACAAAAGAGCTTGAATCACAAAAGCAAACTACTTCCCTACTTCAAGAGAGAATGATCCGAGTGGAGGACACTTCCATGTCTCATAGCGCTGATCTGTTGAAGATCCACAAGAAGCTTGCTGCTCTGGAATGGTAAATGGCCTGTATTTGATATAGCGCCTTCTAGAGTCCTGGAACCCCCCAAGGCGCTTTACAACACAATCAGTCATTCACCCATTCACACACACATTCACACACTGGTGGGGATGAGCTACAATGTAGCCACAGCTGCCCTGGGGCACACTGACAGAGGCGAGGCTGCCGAGCACTGGCGCCACCGGTCCCTCCGACCACCACCAGCAGGCAAAGTGGGTTAAGTGTCTTGCCCAAGGACACAACGACAGCGACAGACTGAATGGGGCTCGAACCTGCAACCTTCCGATTACGGGGCGAGCACTTAACTCCTCAACCACCGTCGCCCCACTCTCACTCTGGAGGATCAAAACAGAAGGAATAACCTCTGGATCTTTAATTTGAAAGATGGGATGGAGCTCAACAATGCTCTATCCTATTGGAAGTCTAACATCACGCAGTGAATTCCCGATCTGGCAGCTTCCCTCCCCGATATGACACAGGCACGGCGGGTTGCCCTGTTGTTGCCCTGGCGGCTCTGCTTCTTCTCGGACCATTGCACCTTTGGCAAGTAAGTCTGAGGTGATGGTGGCCGGCAAACCTATTCGATTTGCAGCAGACTGCAGTGACGATACTGCTCGACGCAGACGCCTTTGTTTCCCTGCATTGAACCGGGCTCGTGCTATGGGGCTACAATCTTTTCTTCTTTACCCGGCTAATATTAAACTGATCAACGGTGCGGATCAACTCTTTTTTACTGACCCCGCGGAGGCCGAAAACTATCTGGACTCTTTGGGTTCTGATGCCTCTAGGAGCTCTATGGGAGCGCATGGACCAGCTTTGGGTGTGTAACTGCACCGATTATATTATTTATTTTGGGTCTGCTCCGGAGCTGCTGGCTTCTATTTCCTCTACAGAGAACCTTTGTGATAAGGTCTGTTTATTTTTATTTTTCAAGCTACTTATATTTTGACTAAGCCACTCTTTTGGATTTACATTAAGGATCAGTTTAAGATTTAGGTGGCTGGGTTTTAAGCAGGGTGTGGGCTTTGAGCTTACATCTAAGATTTATTTATCTCTTTTTGACTATGAATGATAATTCATTATGTATTATGTTTTGTTTTGCTTTTTTGTTTGTTTTGTTTTGTGCTTGCTTGCTGTGGCGGTTACCTTTATACTTCTGTTTTACTTTCAGTAGTCCATTATGGTTAAAGGTGTAGACATAATTCACGTAAACAGAAGTTTATTTCCTAAGATTGATTTATTAAAGGCTTGGCTATAATAAACCAAAAATAATTAGAGTTGGAGACTTGGTTAAATGAAAACATCTCAGACAATGACATATTTCTTGACAATTATGTTTTATTTTGTGCGGATAGAGGGTCTAGGGGTGGCCGGGTTACCACCTGAGTCTCCTCTAGTCTGACGTCTCAGGTCATTGTTCCTTTAGTCAAACCGGTGCGCTTTGAAGCCATCTTCACCAAAATTTCCTTTAATGGAAATAAACATATTATTGCTGATAATGTTTATCATCCTCCCACCTCTCCAAAACATGAAGCAATAAGAAATTTAATAGATACATACAGTTCAATCACTGGGTGATGCAAGGGAAGTTATTTTACTAGGTGATCTTAATCTTAATAAGCTTGATGAATCAACTTTATCAGAACGTATTATTTTAAACAGCTCAAATCTGATGCAGTTCCTCTCTGAGTCAACCAGGGTTGGTGCCACCAGCTCCTCCCGAATTGATTGGATTTTAGTTACACACCTGGATAGATTTTGTGACTTTGGGGTTCTTACCAACTGTTTTAGTGATCATTCTATTATTTATTGCTTTTGAAAAATAACTTCCGCATTCACCTTCGAAGATTATTCAAATTCGTGATTTGCATGTTTTTAATACTGATCACTATTTGCAGGAGTTAAGATGGCTAAACTGGGTTTCTGGAGGTTCTTGATAAACAAGACTTATCGGCTGCATTTGACACTGTCAAGCATGGCTTCCTTTTGTTCACACTCTCTAGCATGGGCATCACAGAGAAAGCACACGCCTGGTTTGAATCATACCTCACAGGACGATCATTCAGTGTATCTTGGCTTGGACAATCTTCTACCGTGCACCATCTTGCCACAGGAGTCCCCCAGGGCTCTGTACTAGGACCTCTTCTCTTCGCCATATACACCACCTCACTGGGTGAGATCATTCGATCACATGGCTTCTCCTACCACTGCAATGCAGATGACACCCATATCTATCTGTCATTTCCACCGGACGACCACACTGTCTCTGCACGAATATCAAACTGTCTCTCTGACATATCAAAATGGATGAAATCCCACCATCTCCAACTCAACCTCTCTAAAACTGAACTACTTGTGATCCCAGCAAAACCATCCATACAGTACAATATCTCAATCCAAAATGACTTCCTATATCTGGCTCCTTCAAAGGCAGCTCGAAGTCTGGGTCTTGTGATTGATGAACACCTGACCTTTAAAGATCATGTTGCCTCTGTTGCTCATTCATGCCGCTTTGCGCTGTATAACATACGAAAGATCAGACCATACCGAACACAACATGCCACCCAGCTCCTGGTGCAATCTACTGTCATCTCCCTCCTCGATTACTGCAATGCCCTTCTAACTGGTCTTCCAGGCTGTACTGTGAGACCTCTTCAAATGGTCCAGAACGCAGTGGCGCGTCTGTTCTTCAATCAGCCAAAAAGAGCACACGTCACCCCTCTGTTCATTGAGCTCCACTGGCTACTGCTAGAAGCACGCATCAAATTCAAATAGCTAACATTAGCATACAAAGTCCGAGATGGTACGGCTCCCATCTACCTGAATCCTCTTGCAAAGGCTTACGTCTCAGCCCGGTCGCTCCGGTCATCACAGGATCGTCGGCTAGCAGTGCCTACACCACGCTCAAGACAATCCAGACTTTTCTCATGCATCGTTCCACAAATGTGGAATGACCTTCCAAGCACTACAAGAACAGGAGCTTCCTTTTCAATTTTCAAGAAACTCCTGAAGACCCTGCTCTTCAGGGAGCGTCTTCTTAACTAGCACCCTCCCTGCACCCGTCCCCTCTCTCTACTGTCCACTCCTTGTTCCCTACTCTCCATGACTGATGTCAAGTTGTTGTTGTTATTGTTGTTGTTAGCCTCAAGGGCAATATGCCGATTATCACTTGTAAGTCGCTTTGGACAAAAGCGTCTGCTAAATACATAAACATAAACAAACATGCTCCTTGGGTCAGTGTAAAAGTTAAGGGCAGTCATCTGCCTTGGGTCTCTTGAGATTTAATTGTTTTTTAAAGAGGCGTGATAGTGCCTGGAAACTAGCTAAACACACTAATCTTCCTGATCATTGGACTGAATATATATATATTTTTTAATCTTTTATTTTCATTTATTGACATTAAAATAATAATACAATCAGAACTAAATTGCTGCAAGCCAAAATGAAAAAGGGGACAGAAAGAAGAAAAACTTATGTTGTCTGCCCCTTTTAACTAAAATAGCATTAATACAAATGAAATAATCATATGATTCTTAAGGAAATTGAACAATATAGTTCCTGGACTTGTTGGCCGACAAAATCTCAACCCATGAATTTGAGAAAAAAATAGAAAAAGAAAACAAGTTACACAGAAATAAGCATTAAGTTACAGATCTATATACATACATATATACACATACAAGCACATACTAGGTTAATATTTTGTTCCTTTAATCCCCCCCACCCCCCTCCCCTCACACATTTATGTAACGGATCTATATAAGTTAATCGTTTTATTTTTTATCTCTTTTTTGAAAGTCAATATTGTTTTTGCATTCTTGAGTTCAGTATTCAATTTATTCCACAATTTAACTCCATATATGGAGACACAATGTTCCTTTACGAGTATCCGATGTCTAGGTATATTAAATAATTCATGTCCCTTTAAATCATATTTGCTGTGTCTTTTTGAAAATCGTTTAATTAATCCTGCAGGTACGTTCCTTTTGTTTGCATTATACATAAAGTTTAAAATATTGTAGTCCACCAGATCATAGAATTTTAGTGTTTTTAATTTAATAAATAATGGATTGGACGGATCTCTGTAGTTGCTCCTTGTGATTTTTCTTATTGCTTTTTTCTGTAAGATGTAAATGGAATTTGTGTAAGTTTTATATGTTGTTCCCCAGATTTCAATGCAGTAGTTCAGGTATGGTACGATCAGTGAGTTATATAACAAATATAATGAATTATTATCAAGCAACCCTTTTGCTCTATGTAACAGTGCAATCGTTTTAGATATTTTAGTTTTGACACTGTTTATATGTAGTTTCCATGACAGTTTTTCATCAATGATGACTCCCAGATACTTGACTTCTTGAACTCTTTTAATATTAATCTCATCTATATTTAATAAAATTTCATCATTTGAATTTGTATTACTAAATATCATAAAACAGGATTTATCACTGTTTAATGATAGTTTGTTTCCATCAAACCATAGTTTAATTTTTTTCATCTCTGCTTGTATCACTTCTATCATCTGCTCAACATTATCTCCTGAATAGTAAAAAGTTGTATCATCTGCAAATAAGGTGCATTTTAATATATTGGATGCCTCAACAATGTCATTTATATAAATGATAAATAGTTTAGGGCCCAATACCGACCCTTGTGGTACACCACAAGTAATGTTATTTATATGTGATTTTGTGTTGTTTATTTGAACATATTGCTGCCTATCGGTAAGATAACTTGTAATCCATTTTAGGGCCATCCCTTTGATGCCATATAATAATATATAATAATAATATAAAAAACTAAGAAACTTTTGTACTACACAGACAAGAAATGCTAAGGACAATTTTTACAAAAACTGTTTACAGAAGGACTTTAACAATCCTAAGCATTTCTGGAATAAAATAAATGAATTACGTGGGAAGACTAAAGCTAAAACTAATAATATGAAAATTAATGATAGCGTTTCTAGTGATTCGGATGTAATTGCTGAGGCCTTTAGAAAACATTTTGCTTTATCTCCTTTACCTAACTCTTCAGTTCCTCTGGGTTCTTACACTTTGCCTCATCGCAGCTCTAGCCGTTTTTCCTTTTCTGAAATTCACCCAAATTAGGTTTTGAAAGTGTTAAAGACTCTTTCATCAGGCAATTCAGCTGGTTCCGATGGTATTGAAGGTCGATTTTTTAGAATTGCTGCTGATGCTCTGGCCCTTCCTTTGCCAATTATTTTTTATCAATTGTTTTTAATCTTTCTATCAACTCGTGTTCTGTCTCGATAGATTGGAAATGTACTAAGATCATTCCACTGCATAAAGGGAATGATACATCTGAACTTAATAATTACAGACCTATTGCGATAGTTAACACAGTGGTAAAAATTTTTGAAAAATTGGTATTATAATCAACTATCAAATTATTTGGATACTAATAATCTATTATCTCAATGCCAATCAGGATTTAGAAAAGATTTCTCTACAACAACTGCCTTGCTTAAATTTACCAATGACATTTATTCAGGTTTTGATAATTTAATTGGAGGAGCTATCTTTCTTGATTTAACAAAAGCCTTTGATTTAGTTGACCATTATTTCCTTTTAGACAAATTGTATGCCAGTGGACTCTCAAGGTTATCATTAATGTGGTTTAACTATTTTGTTCATAATCAATCGCAATTTGTCTCTTTTCATAAGTCTGAATCAAATGCGCAAGGTGTCTTTAGAGGTGTTCCGCAAGGCTCTTCATTGGGGCTGTTATTATTTTATATTTTCATTAATGACTTACCATTGTCTTGTACCTCTTGTTCTGTTCACATGTACGCTGATGATACTGTTGTAACATCACGAAATGGCCTGATTTTGAGATCCCACAGGTCAAATTCACGGCCAGGTCAACTTACCCCTGGCTATGACACCACCTACAATATTTTCCTCACAGGAGACTGGAAGTCGGCACGTAGTCCCTTTAATCAGAGCCTACCTTCCTCGCCAGCCGGACTGCAGCTCTGAGAGATAATGAAAAGATAAGCAATAACATTCTCTCCTACCAAGGTCCCCTTTACAGAGGAACTCATAACATAAACTCCTTTATTCCCAGAAGAAAGAAGATTTTATAATTAAAAAGAATCATTAATCAAACATTTGTTTATTGCTACTTATAATTGTAAAACAATGAAATGTTCATTGATATGTGCTTCATGATGTATGCTTAGCATGTTTACTGGATGAGGTCATCACCATTTGCACTCACACAAGGACAGAGTAAAGTTAAGTTAACGCATGACACATGGTTAACCTTTTGCCCAGTTCAGAACCTCCAGATCAAAGAAGGTGTGTCTCTGAGCTGCTTGGTAATATCCTCAAACCTGTCAACTTTTGGTTGGCTAACCAATTCATAACGTTAATCCATTAAAATTAGTTCACTCAGGTTTTTCCCTCAGTTCGAACAGTTGAACAGTTCGAGAGTTCTAGAGCGAGCTTCAGACCGGCCATCTGTTGCAGAAACTCTTTAACCATCAAGGAGTTTGACACGTTGTCAAAACCTTTTAAACCTTTTTCGCATCTGCAAAGCTGATACAACAAGATAGTACCTTTAGTACAAAGCTGACGCAAAAACTCCTTCAGAGTTATTTTCAAGACGCTCGGTTTCATCCATCTTTTGTGACCCTGGAGACATCTCTGGTCTGAAAGGATCGGTACCTCGGTACACTACAGCCCTCCAGTGCCAGCGGTCATCCGACCTCTCCCCCTTTTGGATCCACCAAGAGGGTCTCTTAATCTGGGTAAAGTAGACACCACTGTATGTGGTTTTGATAATAACAACTTATAGCTTAACGCAAGCCAAATTCTTTTATGTCCAGAACTCAGCTCTCTGAGATACGGAGATTCTGAATACATTATATTCACACATAGGTTCCAGACACTATCCTTTAGTTCGCATCCACTCACAGTATATAATAGTTTAAACAATTTGTCAAGTCTTAATTGTTTGTAAAATAAATTCTTACTTTTATAAACCTGACTGTTTCTTGAATCAAGACGAAGTGTGTACAATCCCTTAATGAATAAAAGAATCCTTGAATCTTCTGACTAAAACAAATAAAGACCAGGCAAGGTAATGTTCTATATTTAAATAGAGTATCACAGCTTATTGGTCACAAGTGGTGTTAATAATATAAATAGCTCTTCAAGCAATTTACGTAACCCAACATACTATATATTAACATTACACTGTATTATACTGCTCTAAGCCGAGTAAAGTGGAAACACAGGAAACTCTTCAGTCCAATTTTAACAGAGTGCAGCACTGGTTAGTCCAAAATAAACTTATTTTAAATAAATCTAAAACCTACTCCATGCTTTTTAGTAGAAGTGTTATTAAATCTGGTGTTGATGGGACTCTCAATCTACATTTTATAGATTCCTTTCTTGTATTCACATCTGCGAAAATAAAATATTTAGGTGTTTGGTTGGAGCCGGAGCTGTCCTTCAAGATATCATATTCAAACGATTTGTCACAAGGTTAATCGGTGCTTAAGAATCTATCAATTGTTTTGAACTGACAGCACACAAGCATATTGTAACTTAGCTTCTGCTTCCAATTTTAGATTATGCAGATATACTACATCAGAAGTCCTCGGTTGCTAGTCTTTACTCTTGATGTTATTTACAATAGCCTATGTCGTTTTGTTTTGAGGTGTCCTTTCAGAACTCACCACTGCTACATGTATGAACAACTCTCTTGGATGACCTTGAAAGCAAGACGACAATTTCATTGGTTGTTAATTTATTTTTAAATGTATTCATTTTGATTTTCCATCTTATTTGAAAGTCTTGTTAGTACCAATGAACGCTTTGTACTGTACCCATTTTAGTGAGCATCCCTCATTTGTTATTCCTCGGTTTGAAATCGATATGCCTTCTGTGTTAAAGCTCCTCAGGATTGGAATACATTACCTGCTAACTTAAGATCTATTTCATCTTTTCGTTTATTTCGTAATTCCATTTATGAGCATGTGAAGCCAACTTGTAATTGTTTTTCCTATTGTGTTTAATATCGTAGCCGCACTCAATTTATGGTGTTTTTCTATTGTTAAATTTTTATTTGTTAATGATTGTGTATGTGTATTTTATATTTGTTGTTACAAGTATGCCTACAGATACATGGGGTAAGCCACAGCAAGTGTTATTATTATTATTATTATAATTTTTTTCTCTCTTAGTTTATTATGGTTGAACACCTTTGCCTTCTTATTCTTTACTTGTTGTATGGTAGGAGGACCTGCTCGAAATTGAGATGCCACATCTCAAGCAGTTTATCCTCCTGGGAAGAAAAATATAAGTTAAATAAATAAATAAATAAGCAAACAATCAAGGGTCATTCTTAATAGAAGGATGCTGCTGATGAGTGGTTGGTAGTCAGAGCATAGGTCAGAGTTCAGAAATCAGAAGAGCTGTACAAATCCTCCATGGGAAGAGCAAAGCATTTCTCAAATACGAGAGCTGGAAAAGAACACTGGATTTCTAATGGCACAAGTTTGTCCATAATCTGGTAAAGGAGCTGCTGGGAAGCGTAGTGCAGCATGAAGGTTTGACAATTACACAATTAGTTCTGTGAAAATTTAAAAATGAAGTTCCACAACTTTAATTCATACATTATCTTACATAAATGGCAAAGATGTATGTATCCACTCTAAAATGTAACTTGAATTCTAACATCACCAATATGCGTACTTAAAGCAGAAATACTGCAAAAAGAGGCAGAAATGTGAAACTGTGTTTTCTCCACAGGTTTCTGTGTCTGAAAGAAACCTCTCAGAGAAAAACCAAGAGGTTCTGTCCTACGTCACTGTCATTGGCTGCAGTATTTCTCTGTTTACTTTGGTCATCACAGTGTTGATCTTCATCACTAAGGAAAAGCACTCTTTATTTACTTTCCTCCAAGAAGTTATTTCAATCTTTCGTTCGGGTTTATTTTCTGCAGTTGTCCGGATTACCAGCGACAGCACTTTTACTTTGAAACTCAGTGATTTGATCAACCCTCAGCTAATCAAGGAATCACTTAAATTGCAATCAACATAAAAAATAATTTATGTCATGACTCCCATCCTTCACCCTCATTTCACTTTCATTCAGCTCACCTGGTCCCTTCACCAAGCTCCTGACAAGTCCTGTTTCCCTGGCAACCACAATCAACTCCATTCTTCTCACCTGTTCCTGTCATCAGCGTCATCCACTTCACCTGCTCCTGACTCCTCAGCTCATCTCACACACCTGCTTCCCCTGCTATAAAAGAACCATCCACCTATCCAGTCGCTGCCAGATTATTACAGCCTTGCCAGTGAACAGTGGCAGCTGGTGAAAAATATTTTTTGGTGGGGCTGTGCTTTTTTTTTTTTAAACAAACTTGTGCTTTCTGAGCTTTGTGCACAACTTCACTATTTCCTGAATTAAGCACAGCTGTTTTATTTCCTGTCTTACATTATTGGACAAAGGGATTAATCCACGTATGTCTGACTATTGGCACACTGCCTTGCGGACCAAGGTTGAAAAATACTGCATTAAATTGCACATAAAATAACACGACCATATATGGTCCACATCCACATTACTGTTTGTGAAACTAACATACTGGAGAATTTCATCACAATAATATTAAATAAACAATTATGTACCTGATCTTTTGCATGCTGTTGGTGAAGCTCTGGATGACCCCTGTGATGTAGACAGAGTCAATGTTCCTCTTCTGCAGCTGGTTGAACAGCATGTCCACATGTGGCATGATCTTGTGACACAATGCCAGCAGAAAGCCGAAATCTTCTTCCTCCAGCATTCTCACAAAGCCTCCTGCCTCTCTCAGTGATTGGATCAAAGTCATCCGAGTCTCTGATCATCTGGAAAAATCTGAGGAGGTCATCCTTGTGCTCATATACTGTGTTAACATCTCTCTTTTGGACAAAATGTGCCGGTTCTGATCCACTTCTTCATTGTGTTTATTCACTGCAAGCCTGCGTCCCTCGTCTCTGGCTGCAATGTTTCATGTCCGTAACTCCTGACTCAATCCATGCCTCATCTGTCACAGTCGTTTTGAATAACAAACACGGAAAGCAAAATGACGCATTAGCGTGGTTTCATCCAGCTAGCCAAGCCTTCTTGGTGTACCAATTTCGGGAGAAGCCTGTGTGTACAGTTTACCTCCCTCCTTCTCCTGCTGGCTTATCTTTACGTCGGGCTGATCTGGTCCAAGCTCTTTGACATAAAGTTTTTCCACCATAGTTCTCCTCGAACGGATACTGGAGAAGAGACTGAACTGAATTCAGTGGCTGCTGAGATCCAGTATCCATGCTGGTTGTACTGGCGGCGTCCATGTTACATCTGCGTCACGACCAAAAACGACTCTGCTGAGTTCTACCGAACACCAGCGAAAGCCTTTGGCGGTAGCTCTATCGCCCATCATGCTTCTGAAACAACGTCGACGCTGATTGGATACATTCCCATTCCTACCGTTTGATTTTCTTGTCAGCAATTGGTCGGCTGGTTCCATGCTGTTTGGGCGATTCAAAAACAGCCTACAGCCTTTCTGTCGCCTCCACCGCTCGGCAGAGAGCTTCTCATCAATATAGATATATAAATATATGATTTGTTTTTGTTACAAAACACAAAATTAACTTAGAATATGTGATTATTGTTAATTTTATTTATTTATTGTTTTAAATAAAAATTAAAAACACTGGGGAAAACTGGGAGGGCGGCGCCCTATCGCCCTCTACTGGCCAGCCGCCACTGCCAGTGAAGTATTCTCCAGCAATTCACCCTGCCTGATCTCTGCCTCCGGACCTCGTTCTTTGCCTGACCCCGCCTTGTATTCTGCCTGCCTTTTTGACCTTAGCCTGCCTACCGACTCTGTCTCCAGCCTCGCCCTCCTGGTAACTCTGCTTAAAATAAAAGATTTGTTTAATACATTTTTACTGTGTTGGCGTCTTCATGGGTCTTCTGAGTTCTGTTCGTGACAGAATAATCTGGCCAAAAAATTTGACCCAACGCCGACACAGTACCTGGGAGTTTTTTTCTCCCCCCCCCCTCTAACCTGTCATGGAGTATCTCACACTCCTTAAGTTTATGGAGCTAAAAAGGGAACAAGAGTCACCGTTCTGGGGAACACGTCTGGCCATCAGGCCACTGCCGGTTTCATCCCTCCATCCCATCCACGTCCAGCGGTGGTCCCAAGAGGCGCAACGCGTCCACGTCCAGCGGTGGTCCCAAGAGGCGCACCGCGTCCACGTCCAGCGGTGGTCCCAAGAGGCGCACCGCGCCCACGTCCAGCGATGGTTCCGGGAGACGCACCGCGTCCACGTCCAACGGTGGTCCCAGGTGTCCCATCACGTGCGCGCTCAGTGGGGTTTCTACTTCCTCCTTTTCGAAGAGGTTCCGCCTGCCCCAGTCCAGTGGTGGTTCCAGGGGTTGCACCGTATCCACATCCAGTGGTGGTCCCAGGGGGCGCATCGCATCCACGTCCAGTGGTGGTCCCAGGGGGCGCATCGCATCCACGTCCAGTGGTAGTCCCAGAGGCCGCACCACATCCTCATCCAGCAGAGATTCCACCTTCGTCTGTCTGAGAGGCTCCGCCTGCCCCAGTCCAGCGTTGGTCCCAGGGTCTGCACCACATCCATGTCCAGCAGGGGTACCACCTCCATCTGTCCTGCCTCAGCGGTGGTCCCCGAGGACGCATCGCAGCCTGCCTCGGCGGTGGTCCCGGGGGACGCATCGCAGCCTGCCTCGGCGGTGGTCCCGGGGGACGCACAGGCTCCGGTCCAGCCAGTCTAAGAGGCTCCGGTCCTTCCGGTTCCCGAGTCGGAGGTTCCTTTTTCGGAGTCGACATCCACGTCTCAAGTCTCTGAGTCGACGTCCATGTCTCAAGAGTTCCGGTCTCAAGTGTCCCCACAAGAGTCTATGTGTGACAGGGCTGTAAAGGAAAAACTTGGTTGCTCAGCCATATTGTAAAACTGGCTGGCTGGTCATATTGTAAGGAGAAACTGTCTTTACTCAGTTTTATTGTTAAGAAGACTCAAAGGTTGTTTTCATCGCTAAACTGACGATAATATCTGTGTGTCTGTGTTTCAGTTCAATGAGGAAACCAGTTTCACAATTAAAAGTTTTAATTCTTCAAATTAAACTAATGATTTTGAAATTGACAAACAGGAAATAACAATCAAATTGGCAACTTTGTGGGACAATCTTTAACAGTTGATATGCTGTTCTTGCTCAAATAGACCTTCTGGTGAATTTATGAAGATTGAGAATGTTGTGAGTTGTGAGAGTGATATGATGTGATTATGGATGCGTGTGGGTGCAAAGTGTGGTGAGATTAGGTGAGATGGATGTGTGTGTGCATCTGATTTTGCTTCAGGAAGAAACAGGTGTCTGAGTGAAAAGTGATGGTTTGAATAAACTTAGGTTTGGTTGGAAAAGATGCATCCAAACGCTAAACACCGTGTTCTGTCTCACCGAACTCTTGTGGACCCTCTTTCGGATATGGGCCGTGGAGGATGTTGTGGTTCATCCAGATGACACTCAACGGCTGACAGGGAAGACGTAGGTGTCGAACGGAACCGGTCCAGAGTTGCCCTCGGTACACGTTGATGGTAAAGCGTTTTGTCGACGTGCTTTCTTAAGTTAATTCACTCAGAAATCAAAAGACTCTGTAATGAGTCTGCGTTAGAAGTTGCGATTCAGCTATTCTGTCTGGCTGACAGAAACAGCGTGAGAGAAGGGGGGGGGGGGGGGGGTTGAGCCAATGGGCTCCGTGCCCCATTAGCGGTTGTTCACACGTCCTCTCTCTTTCGTTGTCAAGCACGAACTGCTCATAAGACTGAAACTTACCAAAAACCTTTCTCTTCTCAAAGCAAACGTGTGCATCATCAAATGTGTCTGGAGTTTACTGTGGGAAGATGTGTGTGGGTGTGTGTGAATGTTTGTGTGCTTGAGTGTGTGTGAAGGTCAGTACCAAAAATTCTCAACATTATTTAAGAATGGATTCATTAAATCTCTTATAATTACCCCAAAGCATAATAGTCATTCATTTGATTAAACACATTTATAATGAGCAAAATGATAATGGTTACTTTAACATTAAAATCAAGAAAAAGAAGTTTAAACTTTGTTTTGACTTGGTCTGGGTACAACTCATGGAAACACATCTTCTGGTAGACTGCAGGTGGCTGATGTTATGGTTTCCTCCCAGACTCGCTGGCGTTCAGGTCTTAATCTGTGGGTGAAAGTTCTCAGCGACCCAGCTTTGACCCAGCTGAGTCCAGCACCACCATTGTGACAGAAAACCCATATCTCCTCACGTTACAGGGCCGTGCAGAGACCTTTGACGGGGTGGCTGCTCAAAGTAAAAAAAAGGGGCACTTATAGAGCAATCCAATAAGTTAGAAAATTCAGATAATGAGACCCTTGGGTTCAAACATCATAATAAAAATATATCAATTAGTTTCATTAGTGTTAGTTCATAAATAATAGTTTTAGTTTTTAAAGCTGACTTATACCTAGAGATGTTACAACCACATTTTTGCCCCTGATCTGAGTTAAAGTTGTTTGATTTTTGATTATCTTCCAATACTGAGTCCTGTTCTGATACCAGGTGGTGATGCAACGCGTTATAAAAGAAGAAAGAAGTCGTCCTTCTGTCTGTATTTGTCATTTTGTTATTTTAGCTTGAAAAAGTCACTCATTCAGGAAGTACATTTAACAGAAATCAAGATACTTTATTGCTATTGCACAGGTGTACAACCAAAGATATTTTGTGCTTCCCAAAGACAGCTCTAGTAAGAGGTAGTAAAATAAATGTAAAATAAATGCACCACAGAGACTTATCCAGTGTGATCTACAGCTATGTTAGCTGAGATCTTTTTCCTGTCAGTAGAAAATTCTTGATCCCATTCCATGATCTCACTGAACTTAACACTAAACATGAGAGCTCTGCTACCAACCTAACAACATCCTTTACACAAAGGCACCATCATCACATACGTGGCAGGAGTCTCAGAGAAACTTAGAAGAATCTTCTCCAAACACAACATCCCGGTAAACTTTAAACCCAACAACACCCTCAGACAGAACCTGGTCCATCCAGAAGACAAAGCACCCAAACAGAAGCTCAGTGGGGTTGTTTATGCAGTCCAGTGTAGGAGCACTATCCAGATGTTTACATTAGAGAAACTAAACAACAATTGCACAAGAACATAACACAACACAGGAGAGCCACCTCTTCAGGTCAAACTCTGCAGTCCACCTTCACCTGAAGGACAAGGGACACACCTTTGAAGATGACAAAGTCCACATTCTGGACAGAGAAGATAGATGATTTGAGAGAGGAGTAAAAGAAGCTATCTATGTAAAAACGTGAAAACCCCACTTTAAATAGGGGCGGTGCTTAGATTTCACCTTTCCAGTAACCCCCCCCCCCCCAATGCATCATGGGGGATTTGCAGTTTTGTCATATCAAGTTCGTTTGTGGTTTATATTAATCTTGAGAAATAGACAAACCCAACGGTATATATTATGTTGGGTGTTTTATTTTTATTAGGGGTGAAATTTGAAGTTTAAGTTATTTTCTTGTTTAACGGAGTCCCAATGCATCATGGGGGTTTGCAATTTTGTGGCACCGTGAGTGAGAGGATTCTGTCTGTGGGTTAAGGTCCCAGGAAACTCAATGCAAATTCAGTTCAGTTGGTTGGTTCAGTGGAGCGCTTAAATTCATGGTATGTGATGTGCATACCTTACCACCGTTTTAGTCCAGTAGATTCCTTTTTTGTTGGTCCGTGAACTTATTGTAGTTTTATTAATGGTAATAATATTGGTCAGTAATAGCCTATTAATACCTCAACATTGTTTCCATAGTAGTCTATTAGGGTTATTGTTATCCAATCTATGTTTATGGTTAGAGTAGGAGTGAGGGGAGAGGTTCAATAAGGGTTCTTTTAGGTTAGGATTAAGGAGGCTTGATTTGAATAGAGACTGGGCCTGAATGTCCTGATTAAGATCCAAGTAAAAGTGAGGGGAGGGGTTGACCAGTGTGTATATGGGTTTTTAAATCAGGATTAGAGGGCTTGTGGTGGTGAAGGTTTAGGTTCCCATCCCAAGGGTAAGGTTAAGGCTGGAGGTAAGGGGAAGAGGTTTTAGTCAAATGAATCCAGGGATTTGTTAGGGTGTGGGCCCGAATGTCAAGGTACAGGTAGGAGTGAGGGGAGGGGCTTAATTGAATGTATATAAGGGGTTTTAAGCTAGGACTAAAGGGGGCTTGAATTGGTTTGG